GCATACGAGAAGCTTCCAGTTCTTTTTTTTTCTGGAAGAAATATACACGCGCCAGAGCAGTACCCCAACTACAAAGGAAAACAAGAACTCCAAGGGCATACTCACACGAAGACTTATTTACTTATTTATAGATGTAGTTGCGGTCAGATGCATCCAGGTCTGGCGGTACTTGGAGGCAAATGAATTTTGAAAAAGAAGTTTTTTTTTGGAAGCATTTGCCTCAAGTACGGCTAGACCTGGATGCATCTGACCGCAATTACATCCATATGTTGGAAACGGGAATCCTCACAAACAACCGGGGCGGCTGGGGCCCTGGCCCAGAGTAGGCAGGTGCTGGAAAACGGGTCCAGCGTCCCATCTTACCCACTACCCTCAGTTCCTTTGTAACACAAATACTTATCATTGATTATGAAGCTTGGCGCCGGCCACCTAGAGATATGCCGTTGGTCCCCCCGAGTGGCATTGAGCAGAGACTGCTGATGTTCATAGGGGGAGGGGACCGGAGGGGAGGCACAGTGACTGGCCCATCGAAGAAGCTCGGTCCTGATGCTGCCGGCTGACCCCTGGCCGGTATCGCCCACCTGCTGTAGCACGTATCGCACCTGCTGGTGGGTGCAGCTCCCGCATGTTCCCTCGTTGGAGGCGTGAGCACGGATGTGGATGCTATGGGGTTCCCCGTAATACTACAATGACAATAAAAAAGGCCTGAAAGGCTGTCCTGTCCAGATTTGACAGGTAATTGAATTGGTTAGAAAAAAAAAAAAAAAAAAACTTATCATTGATTATGGACGCAGAAAAGAAAGCAAACGGTCACCCCATTTCAGAGGCCTATAGGCTAATAATGAAAAGTGCTTAGTACATGGAAGCAATTCAAATCAAACAAATGGAAGAATGGACAGAGAGAGCCAGATTAAAAAAGTTAATCACAGTAGACAAGGGCGCTAAAGAACAATTTCACTCCGATGAAAAAGTTGGCACATCCCTTCTCGAGGCAGGTCCATGTGGCCGAAACCTTACATAAGATGGGTGAACACGCCCACATCTATTTTCGGGACATTTTAACATCAAGAAGACCACCATTAGAAGCTGACCCAGAATTTGAAGCCTTCTCACCATTTTGGGAAGCGGCTAAGGTAACCTTGACTCAAACGGAAAAGAAGATTTGGACAAACCAATTAGTATGAAAGCACTGGCAAAAGCCAAGGATCAAATGGCACCAGGTAAATTGTCGAGGGAAGATGACCTACCAGTGGAGTTCTCTACTCCACATTCTGGCCTGAACTTGTTCCGAGACTTTTAAAGATCTACAATGACATCCTAATTGGTAAACCTTTGGCAACGGGTATGGCTAAAGGGATTATGTCCTTGATGTGTAAAAGGGTGAAAAACAGAAAATAAGAAATTGGCCACCTATTACATTACTAAATATGTCATATAAACTCTTGACTAAAACACTAGTGATTAGGCTAGGCATGTTCCTACCTAAACTGGTGCGCCCGGAGCAAGGAGCCTTTGTCAAGGGCCACTCCATCTTCGACAATATCATCACGGATTCACATCAATAGAAGCACAATAAATAATTAGTACAAACAACATGAATATGGTAATGCTGGCCTTGGACCTTGACAAAGCTTATGACCAAGTCGCTTGGGCATTTGTGGAAGTCACTCTAAAACACATGAACTTCGGCTCGCAGATTCTGAAGTCGGTTTTTGCATTATACAATCAGGCAATTGTGATAGTTATGGTTAATGGGAGAATATCGTCCACATTTAAACTAACTAGGTCACTGAGGCAAGGATGCTCCCTCGCACCACTCAGATTTGTACTCCAAATAGAAGTACTGCAGAGCACCATAAAATGTAATCCGAGAATCAAAGGTCCGACTGTGGGGGACCATAAGTGGAGAGGGGGAACATTAGCTAATAATGTACTCACAATCTAAGCAAACTTTTTTAATTCACAGACCTAACAAAACTTCACTCCATTCTATTAATATTTTATGACGCATCCAAAGCATCTATTAATTGGAATAAGTTTGTCTACATCCTTCTCACTGCAAACAAGCTGAAAGTTTCATGGACTATGAAGAGAGTCCCTGCAAACACAGTGGAATGCTTCTTGGGGATCCAGATCTCCTTGACAAGAACGACGAAACTACAAGATGTTGTACTTGTGGAAAGAGTTGCAACGAGTATGAATAGACTGGTGAACACGATCTCACTATCACTATTAAGACGAACGTTTGTCATAACTATTATGTCATTTTCTTAGTTGTGGTTCGTTGGAGTCGTAAAGGGTCTGGTGAACAAGCATACAAGTCAATTCGACGCAACGTGGCGTCTGAGGCATCTATTATTTGGAATAAGTATCTCTACATCCTTCTCGCTTCACACGAGCTGGCAATTTTACGTGGTATGAAGAGAGTCCTGCAGAAACAGCGGAACGTTTTCTAAGGGTCGAGATTTTCTTGACAAGAACGGTCAAACTACAAGATGCTATACTGGTGGAAAGAGTTGCAGCGAGTATGAAGAGACTGGTGAACACGATGTCACTATCACTATTCGAACGAACACTTATCATAACTATTTTGTCACTTTCCTAGTTGTGGTTAGTTCGAGTCGTAAAGGGACAAGGTGAACAAGCATACAAGTCAATTTGTTGTAATGTGGCAAGGCAACTATGAAAATCATCGGTTGAACAAGGGAAATCCTTCATCATGACGGTAGCATGAAAATCATTATGTTTGTCAAATGAAGAAGGAAACCTTGGAATCCTAGACTTAGAGGATCAGATTCAAGCACTCCTGGTGAAGTGGCTAGTCAAGGGAGTACTAGACCTAGACACAAGGGATTGGGTGCAGATGGCAGGACATATCCTAAGTAACCATCAGATATATGGTTGTGTTATACTACCCTCTAATACTATGCGAAGGCCAAAATCCAAATTCATGGCTAACATTTGGCCCCCATGGGAAATAATTAGACCACGCTCACTAACAAACTCCACCTCTAGAAGTGATTTTTAAGACAACCCTTATTCGAAAATATGAGGATAACAGACCAGTTGGGTACCATTTTCTTGACCTTAAACGTCAGTGGAATGTTCGAGAGGAAATGGATCGGGAGAGGGGAACTGAGAGTTGAAGATCTTTGGAATGAGGAGTCCAAAGACTGGCTCAGTGAACAGGACCTAAGGGTAAAGCTAGTACAACTCAACTCAAACACAACATTCATGAAAACCGGACCAAAGAAAATGTCCAGTTTGCACGAAATTTATTAAGGGTTATTAGGCTACGATTTTTAGGCGTCATGTGGAAACAAAATTATGTGTGAAGGTTCATTAACCCGGGTTTTACTATTAACTTTGGAAAGTGATTTATAGTCTTATAAATCAGTTTTGCCGGAGTCTGACCTTTTGTCTTTAAAAGTGTCATATTTGCCCTATTTTTTGTTTTTTTTCCTAAACAAACAGTTAAACCCCTTATCTTTTTTGTTTTCAAAATAGAAGCTTGACTTGTAAGTTTTCATTCTAAAAAAAAATGTTTGGTTTTTTCGTTTTGTCTTATTTTCACGAATCCAGTGTTCTCAGTGGAACAACAATTAATTCAACTAACTGAAGTAATTCCTCAGGATTGGAAAAACTTGCTTGCACATAAGAAAGCAGACCCTCCTGGATTTGTGGTACAAGTATGAGAGAGAGCGAATAACCAATATGTTGTGGATGGTGACTGGAGTAGATGTAAATCAAGTTCACAAACTGAAAAAATGATAAATATCGCCAATTATTGAAAAAGATATCTCTGGAATTCAAAGGACGCTTGAACTGACCAGCCCGCTGGACAACCACAAAAGTTAGAGTTCCCAAATCCCTTCCATCAGGAAAGAAAATGTTGATGACTCACTCACGACTCAAGCCAATTACGGTCTTAAAACTGGATTCATTTTGTGTAGAATGTATTGATAACAAAGGGAGACACATTACTCTGGAACAGTACACCGCAAAAGCATGACTTAAATACATTCAAACAATCAATTATACTTCACCTACATAGGTATCATTGAAAATATTCAACAGAGCATGAACAATTCATAAGCAACCATTGGATATATCTACATATTGCTCTCAACTGTAAATATTACCGTCACGAAAGCAAGCCGACTTGCTCTAGTTGC